TACTATACTTAACACTGACATTTATTTTTTAAACCCTTTATTTTTTAAACACCATCAGATATGAATATTATTGTTAATTATGCTTTATTAGACGTTCACAGATAATTAATTGAAATAATGATTTTGAATATGCATTTTTTTAACAACTACGTTTGTTAAGTTTATAAGATATTAATCTTAACAGCTCATGGAACCCATAAGTTCTGATCGCTGTTCAAATATTATAAAAAAAAATTAAATAATTTACTATAAAGCTAAAAGCAAAACAATTTTTTGTGTTTATCGTAAGTTTATAATTGCATCGAGTCTAGAATGTTCAGTTCTATTTTATTATCTAATATTATAATAATTTCAAATTATTAAAACTCAACATTTTAAATGAGGTGAATATATATTAATTACAAAATGTTTACATATTTAATTATACATTTCACAATTTGTATTTATGTGCACGTATAATCAGGCTGCATAAACATACAATCAAATTTAAATCAGTATTGAAAATCAGGATAATTTAATTTTTTTTTTAATTTTTTGCCTTAAAAATGAATCTTTGAAAAGGTATCGGAGGATTTGCATTATATTGTTTTCTTTTATGGTGGCCAATTACCTGCTGGAGCACCAGCATAATCAGAGCCTGTGCCGTAATCACCTTGCGCACCAGAATTATCACCACCAGCGCCATATCCACCATGCGAACCAGAATAATCTGTACCTGCTCCATAACCACCTACAGATCCTGCGTAATTACCACCTGTGCCGTAACCACCAATGGGAGCACCATAGTCCCCACCTGCGCCGTAACCACCAGCGGGAGCAACATAATCACCTCCTGCGCCGTAACCACCAGCGGGAGCACCATAATCACCACCTGCACCGTAACCACCAGCGGGAGCACCATAATCACCACCTGCGCCGTAACCACCAGCGAGAGCACCATAATCACCACCTGTGCCGTAACCTCCTGCGGCACCTGAATAGTCACCACCTGTGCCGTAACCTCCTGCGGCACCTGCATGGTCACCACCTGCTCCATAAGGTCCCTCAGAACCTGCATAATCACCGCCTGCGCCATAGCCTCCTAAAGAACCTGAATAATCACCGCCTGCACCATAACCTCCTTCAGAACCTGCGCCATAGCCTCCTTCCCAACCAGCTCCATATCCACCTTTCTGTTTACCATTGCGTCGTGGATGGCCTAATAATTTTTTATTATGATTGGCATGAAGATTTTCCTTTCTTTCACCTTTAGTGTTCCCATTTTTCATCAATTTTCGCTTCCTTGGTTGTTGATCTGCTAGAACAATAGCAGTGATGGCCAATACCAAAATTACAATTGCAATCTTCATGTTCCTTAATTTTGTTGGAAGTCTGGCGGCAATGTAATGCTGCACCAATACAGGTCTTCGTTTTATACTGGTGCAAAAACATGCATTAACATGTATAATCTTGTTTTTTCAATGCAAAACTACGTCAAACAGTAAGATTAACTTCAAAATTTATGAAGTCAAAGAATTTCTGTTACCTTTACGCATAACTTAGACATATTAAGATTTAAATATTTTACTCATATATCAAAAATATGTGTATATACGTATACTGGTGAATATAAACAAAAGGCAAAACAGTGTCAAAATACCAGACGAAGAGGTTTAATATAATTTGAAACTAGGTTAGAAATTTGTCAATATTAAATGTTTAATATGATTTAGTAGAATCGTCAATTTTATTGTTACTTAAAATAACATGTTTTGCTAAATCGTTATTTTTCATTTCTAAAAGATATTTTAGTAACCACAGTAAATGTGTGTATCAAGTACTACAAATGTGTATGTTCTGTCGTTTTACAAAGCAAAGTGTGTTAACGTAAATTTTGAAAAATAATTGGTATGATTTTCTCAGCTCTGTAGTATTAATTAACTTCCCGTAGGGTAAGTTATTGTAATCGTCCAAATATCGAAATTGAAATTTTGTACATTTCTTCACGTTTTGAAGGTTTCTGAACATTTTGGCATACTTTATTTGTACTTTATTTTATACTTATTGTATGTGAGTATGGATACAATTTTTCGGCCACGTTTTCGGGCGCATGAATCAAACGATTTAAATGGTTCAAAAAACATTCGATTCCTATTGATAGGGAGATGTGCTGATTAGTTTTTGGCAAAGGCAGGTCCAGCCGTTTCAAAGATACGAAGCAAAGCATGCAGAAAAATCGAGTTTTTGAGAGATCGGAGCATCGGATTTGAATGATCTAAAAATCCATCCATTTTTAATGATGGGGAGAAGTGGTGATTAGTTTTTGGCAAAGACAGGTCCAGTCATTTCGAAGATACCGAGCTAAATGTACGACAAATAGCAGTTTTTGAGAGAACTAAGCATCCGATTCGAATGATTCAAAAAATTACTACGTGTTAACGAAACAAGCTTTTGGAAAAAAAAATTACAATTTTTTTGTATATCGAAAATAATTCAGATTTTAATTTTAATTCTTGCTAAAGTTTTAGATCTCACTTAAATACTTTAAATAATTTTAACATTGCAATTCAGTTTATATAATTTTTATAAATATTAGACAATGTTACAGTATTTATAATAATCTAAAGCATTTAATTTTCTTCGAACATTTCGCTACTGTACGGGAAGTTCCAGCAATTTGCCTTAAGGCACGATGTTATTGCAAGAATCTATATGTAAGGCACATTTTTCTTTCAAAAGCTTCCTGATATGTGTATAATCGACATAATTAGTATGAATTGGGATGTCAATTTTTAAAGTAACCACAATAGAATTTTGAAATGTTGATACAAGCCATTAATCAAAACTCTGAGAAATTCTCATAAATAAACTTTTTTTGTATGGCCTATAATATCGTAAAGGTCGCTCTGTTAAGTTTTATTAAAAACGTAAAAAATAATTTTCATAGTTAAATGAAGACAATTTGCATAAACATTACATTTAACAGAACAAATAAATTAAATTCATGTTCAAATTGATATTACCAATGATATAATAAACTTCATATAATATAAATAATAAATCATTAGAAATTCATCACTGGATATTACAATTTATAATAGTTCATTATTATTATTTGCAGATTGGTCCATCGCTCTTCATGATGCTCAAATGTGTAAATTCTTCATCATTTGATAGATCAAGTTTTCTCGATTTGTCAACATGTTTGGAAGAAAGTTCAAAGGTAGGTATAAATAATTTTTTGAGACCTTTTGCAGTTCGTGCAATAAGTTCGAGAACTTTGTCCTTTACTGAAATAATGAGAAAAGCAATGATCCAAATGATTAAACAATTTGTTAACAATTTGTATATAGAAGTTAACACCGATTTTACAAAAAAATAGTCCTTATTATTGATTTAATAAATAATTATGCTATAATTATGCTATAATTAAAGTCTTAATATCAACAAAATAAATCTAAAAATATAGAATCATATACGAGGTGTGTTCAAAAAGTACCCGGAATTACTAATAATTAAATTTCGCGGGTCTGGAGTGTCTGATTGTCAAAATTTTTTTTTATTGTGTTGGTATACATGCCCCTAAAGTATGATGAAATTTTCAGCTATATTCACTGTTTACTTTGTCTGTGGTAGTCGCTAAGGTTCGACGTGTTTTTCTGAGCTCGGCGATTTTTACAATGGAAGAATTGAAAAGTCAAAGAATTTGTATTAAATTTTGCGTAAAAAATGAAATAAAGTGTTGCAAAGTGCAAAAATTCACCAGATATGGCTCCGTGTGACTTTTTCCTATTCCCAAAGTTGAAGAGACCCATGAAAGGACGGCGGTTTTCCTCGATTGAAGAAAATCGCTGAGAGTGCTCAAGGACATATCAAAAAGTGAATATCAAGGGTGCTTCGAAAATTGGAAAAAACGCTGGCATAAGTGTATTATATCTGGGGGGGACTACTTTGAAGGGGACCACATTAATGTAGACGAATAAATAAATATTTTTTTGAAAAAACGAAAATTCCGGGTACTTTTTGAACAGACCTCGTATAACGGAAATTCGCGATCATTAGTAAAAAAACATAACTTAAATACACATTTAGTAATAGTAAATTAAATTATATTATGTTATTGTTTTTTTTTTAACTTCAAGATAAAAAAGCTAAAAATCAATAAGAATTATTTATATTTCTATATTTTATGTTCTACTAAATTATATATTCTAAATTGATATTCATAAGGTGGAGTAATTTTAAGCAATAAATAATTCAGGAAATTTAGGTAAATATATTCAGGTATCTTTAAATAAATTGGTATTTAATTGTTTCAACCATTTTTAATTATTTGCATTTTGTAGAAAAATGATAAATATTTCAGTAATTTATGCTAGTAAACAAAGTAGTAAAATTTGCACACTTGGAGCAAGAATTATAAGGTCATTTTATACTGTAATATATTTTCTTGTATGTAGTAAGAGGACACTGTACGAAAATGTCGAAATTTGAACTTTAGATGATAATATTAATACTTTGTGATGAATTGAACTTGTCTAGTCAAATTTAAGGGTAGCCTAAATTGAGACAAAATTCAGACAAAATAATAAATTTGCCAAAAGTGGCTGAAGATTTTCAAAAATATTAAAATAAGCACCATTCTTAGTAGTTTAATTTAAAGTGTATAATTAAACCTGAGCTTTGCAAGACGATATAACAAAATCATCAATGTTTTACAATGAAGAATAAATTTAACATATGTTTAACTAATTTTATTAACGGTGAGTATTTGTACGAAATCTGGTGACAAAAATACTTTGCTCAATACCTGGCTTGCTCAATACCAAATTTTAGCTTATAATTTTTGATAATATTAGTTTTGGGAATAATAGTACTTTCAACCCAGAGCCATGTTTTATTAATAACCCAAATCAGAATATGTTCACGATCTAAAAACTTTATTGCTCTTAAATCAAAAATACAATAAAACTTAAAATATATGGTATAAAGTGCACACTGCTCCTCCACAATCGTACTAAAATTCTTGAAAATTTGTTTTTGTCTGTGCAAATTTTCCTGTCCATTTTGTTCAGTGCTTATATGTACTAAATTTTCCGTTGACCTATTTTCCAATTTAATTATTATGCAGATATAAGTTTGCTAACAGTTCTCAGTAGTTTCAATTCTTCTGATGTTGCATCATCAAGAGATACTTTTCAACAATCGGTTCAGGTGTGGTTTTGGATGATTTGAGGATCGTTTAGATTTTCTTGAATTTGGGCCTTGATTCAAAATGGATTTTGCAAGCTCTATGGATTCACTGCCAACTGGTTTTAAGACTTTTTGAGCCCGATTGACGGGAATAGTTGCCTTGTTCAATAATTTCTTTGCTATAATAAAGGATGCTAATTTTTTCAAATGTTTACAATGTTATTCACTAACGAAACTTATCTTTCTTGAATTTTTCTGTTTTAAGTTCACGAAGGTTCTGGTATCATTCAATTGTACGAATTTTTAGATACTTTTTATTTTTTTAAAAAAAGGCGTATTGGATGTTCAAAACATTTGATCTCATTCACAGCATGAGAAATTTTGTTTTTGAAACAATCTATTCAATTTTGATGCTGATTTTGAGCAAAAAAAAAATGCGATGTTTTTAGTGAATTAAAAGAACATTCTGAAACAAAAATTAAAATCCTACTTACAATTTTTGAGATTAGGAATAGGGTTTGCCGGATTTCAAAAACCGGTTTTTAGCAAAAATTATGGAATTTAAAAACCGGTTTTTTAGTGAATAAAGTCGGTTTTCACTGTATAAATGAAAAATGACAAATATAGCCAAATATAAAAGATAGATGAAAGCGTTTAGATTTTTGAAATCATATCCGTTCAATAGCATTTGATATATTATCAGTCTGCAATGGTTCCCAGAAAGGTATTGTATATATTAATTTAGATTTTTATACCAGTGTATATATTAATTTAAATCAGTGTGACTTCTTCTTGAAGAAGTAACTTCCTCTACTCAAACTAAAAATAGGGATTTGAACCCTAGAAGCCACAAATTAAAAAAAATTAAAAATTTAAATTATTATATCAGGCTTTAAAAACAATTAAGCATGATTTGGTCGCAAGTGTAAGAGTATTTTCTATTTCAGGAATTTTTGTGAGTAAACAAAGGACACGTCTAAGTAGCAATTCGATAGATGTTCTCAGTTTCTTGAAAACATATTTTATTAAACAAAAAAACATTTATGTTAAAAATTAATTAATTAAAATCGCTCGGAACAGACAATACTCGAGTTTAGCTATTTGTTTTTAAAACTAAAGTTGATATTAACTAGTATGTGTCAACATGTATCAATTTTTTTTTAATCTAATTTTTTTTTATTTAAAAATGTGTTATTTTTGTTTATTCGAAAATTTTCCTTTCACTATCATAAAAATATTTTCATTCTTATATGTGAAAATGATGCATGAATAACGAATAATTATTTTCAAAGTTATTTAATCAATATAAACTATTATTTTTTAGTTCAACTAATTAAAATTAAAATAATTTTGTTTACTATTTATAAAATTAAGCAATAAATAAATTCAGTCAAATACTGCTTTAAATTACACTAAAATTGCGGATAAATTACAGAATATTCGAGCAAAAATTTATTTTCTATATAAAATTTGAAAACCGGTTAAAACCGGCTTTTTAGTAAAATTGAAATTTGAAAACCGGTTTTTGTATAAACCCTAATTATTCATAATATAGATAAGAGTTAGTGTAATCTAATTGAAACTCTCAGATTTAAATCTAATTTAAAATTTCGTATAAAAACCTACGAAAAGTTATAAATAAGCAATTTTAGAATAAAATCAACAGCGAAAACAAGATAAACAGTTTTTCTTGTAAATACTATACGTTTTAGGGTCAAAAGGTAAATTTAATGTCAAATCAATGGATAATGTAAAAAATATTTTTTTCTCAAAAATTAACCGTAAAAGAATTATTTACCTGTACCAGAAGCTGCGGGTGTATCATTATTTTCATTTGCAGCTAGTTCTGTAGCCGCTTCATTATTTGCATTTGCAGCTAGTTCTGTAGCCGCTTCATTATTTGCATTTGCAGCTAATTCTGTAGCCGCTTCATTATTTGCATTTGCAGCTAGTTCTGTAGCCTCTTCATTATTAGCATTTGCAGCTAGTTCTGCAGCAGCTTCATTATTTGCATTTGCAGTTAGTTCTGTAGCCTCTTCATTATTTGCATTTGCAGTTAGTTCTGCAGCAGCTTCATTATTTGCATTTGCAGTTAGTTCTGCAGCAGCTTCATTATTTTCATTTGCATTTAGTGCTGCAGCTTCTTCATTATTTTTATCTGCCGTTATTGATGTGTCTTCTTCATTATTTGTATTTTCCGTTGATGCACCCCATTTATTACGGCTGGACCGATTTTTAGCTAAGAATTTAGCAGATGCACTTTGGTGATTCAGTTTTTTCGCAGCTCCTTTATTAATTGAATTTTTATTGGATCTTTGCACATGTTTTCGTTGATTTTGCTTAGTTTCAGCAGCAAAAGCCACAGCGACTATAGCCAAAACCAATAATAATACAGCAATCTTCATTTTGTCAAAAGTCAAATACTATTATGTCAAAAGTCAAATACTGAATGTCGACTGCCATTTATATTCGAAAAGTGAAATAGATATGATTATTTTTAATTTTCAAGTAATACGTCAAAAGTAATGATTCGTAATCAGTCAAAATTTCATTTTACTAATTATACTAGTTATCATGATTGCATTAATTTGCATTACATTTATTATTCTTTTACGTGTGTATTTATTCAATATTTTGTCAAAATAAAGCAATTTTGTAATAAACAAACATGCGTTTGGAAATGCCGTAAATGGTATTATAATAATTATTTTACCTCAAATATATATGTTATCAAATTACTTATTCAAATTTTGAAAATCTGAATTATTTTAGATATTAAAAAAAATTTTTTTGGAAATAAATGAGAAGAAAGTTTTTTGAATAATCCGAATCGAATGCTAATTTTCCTCAAACTAAATTGCAAAATTTAAATTATTTATTTAAACTTCAGTCAGAATTAAAATTCAAATCTGAATTATTTTCAATATACAAAAAAAAATTATTTTTGAAAAAAAATATTTGAAAAAAAATTGAAACAAATTTTTTTTCCAAAATCAATTGTTTTGTTGAAACAAGCAGAAAGTTGTTTGAATCATTCAAATCGGACGCTTAGTTCTCTCAAAAACTGCCATTTTTTGTTCATTTAGTTCTATATTTTTGAAATGGCTGAACCAGCCTTTGCCAAAAACTAATCAGCACATCTCCCTATCAATAGCAATGGAATGTTTTTTGAAACATTCAAATCGGTTGATCCGTGCGCCTGAAAACGTAGACGAAAAATTGCGAACATACAAAACACACACAAACAAATCTAATTTTTATGAGGTATGCTAAAATATTCAGAAATCTTCAAAACGTTGAGAAATGCTTAAATTTTCATTTTCGATTTTTGGCCCATCACTATAACTACCCTACGAGAAGTTAACAAATATTTTGCTATCAAATTCTGAATTTCATAAGGTATAATAAAGCTGATGTCTCAATATTATCTACATTGCAGAAAGAAAATCGTCTTCTTGTATATTCATAAATTAAAAAATTGATTTAAAATATTTGCAGAATATTAGGTACGCTAACGACAAACATTAAAGACCATGAATACTAGTTGATACTTTCTCAAAACTTGAACACAAATATTGTTCATCAAGCATATATTTTATACAATTAACGCAATTAAACTTTCATTCAAGAAAAACAAATTAAATAGAAATAATTATAATTGCTTTCCAATTTTCATCGATTCATTCGAGTGTAATGTCGTCATAAACACAAATGACGATTTTGATATTTTTTCAAAACTAGCAAGTGCGTACAGACATTGTAATATGAAAAATACGAAAAGTTATTAAAAATTACTAATTATATTTTATCAAAAAAATATTTGCATTTTTGAAGCAAAACATATAAAATTTGTCATTAACTTAAAATCAGCACACAAGTACATTGCACATATGACAGGCATCAATTACGTAAAATTATAAGTAAAAAGCAACAATTTACGTTAATTGTAAATAAGTGAGATTTAGGTATAACGTAAAATTTCTAAAGTCTATTACACAAAAATATTCAAATGATAGTTTACAACATTTCACTTGATTGATTTACAAGAAACTTGAGTGGTAAAAACCTCAATCTTGTAACCACAAAATTCTAGATTTCGTACTCACTTTGGCCAGCCTGATATCAAGCAATAGAAATATCTGCTCTTAGTTGAAAATACATCCAAAATATGTTACAGTGAAAATAACCCAGCATTGGTGCATCAAATACTATCATCAGTATTAGAAAAATTTTAGTGACAAAAATACTTCAAACAAAATAGTCAACCATTGGGTTGCCTTTCAAGAAGAGACGCTTATAGGGAAAAGCTAAATCACAAGAGCTAACAGAACTGTTAAGTTATGATTGTTGTTCAAATATAAGAAAAAAATCGATTAAATAACAATTGTACAATCGAGTTCTAACATTATTCTGCTACAATGTAAATTTGTCATAAAATGTAAGAATATAAACAACCTATTTAATTTTTTTTTTGAAAATTTTAGATATTTTGCCAGATTATTTCTGATTTATGATGTCTAGTAGACCATGTTAATCTTATTAACTTCCCGTAGGGTAGTTATAGAAATGGACCAAAAATCGAAAATGAAATTTTTTGCATTTCTCAACATTTTGAAGGTTTCTGAACATTTTGGCATACCTCGGATGTGTGTGTGTGTGTTTTGTATGTCCGCATTTTTTCGTCCACGTTTTCGGCCGCACGGATCAACCGATTTGAATGGTTCAATAAACATTCAACACCTATTGAAAGGGAGATGTGCTGATTAGTTTTTCTAAGGCAGGTCTAGCCGTTACGGAGATACGGAGCAAAGAATGCAGAAAATACTAATCGAGTTTTTGAAAGAACGGAGGATCCGATTTGAATGATCTAACAAACATTCAATTTGTAATAATTGGGAGAAGAGGTGATTAGTTTTTAGCAAAGGCAGGTCCAACCATTTCGAAGATACAAAGCTAAATGTGCAGAGCTAAGCGTCCGATTTGAATTATTCAACAAACTTTCTGCTTGTTGGGAAAAATTTTGGAAAAACAATTTTTGTTTCTATTTTTTTTTTCAAAAAAATTGTTTTTATCAAGAAATTTTTTTTTGTATATCGAAAATAATTCCGATTTTAATTTTAATTCTGTCGTAATATAATTTAAACAAATAATTTCAACTGTGCAATTAAGGTTATATAATTGTTATAAATATAAGACAATGTTACAATATTTATAAAAATCTATATGCATTTAATACTCGATAGACTCGATCATTTTGTTACGGTGCACGATGCCATGCACCACTAGTTTAAAATTATATTTAATATTGCTCATAAGCTTGCAATTTATTCTTTGCTTTAAAAGAAGAATATTTTTTTAAGAAAGATGTTGCACATGTATGTTAATACCGTTTTTTTATATAAGTTTTTGCACTTCAGTAAAAAAAAAATGACAAGAACCTGAAATGATATTTATTATTATTGATCACGGCTTGCTTATGAATAAAATAAGAAAAAAAAGAATTTAGAAACACTTGTCATAAAAAAGGGGATCAGTAAAGTCTTAAAGTAGTTGGTAATTTATATGTAAAATTGTATAACTACATTGTATGTAAACAATTGTTTAAATTTTGTTTCTTAATTTTTGCTATATGTATATCATGTTTCACTTAAGTAAATGTTCAAAAAGTTACTTAAACAGTGAAACTAAATCTTGTAAAAAAAAATTATAGAAAATTCCAAAATTTTAAAGATATTACATTTTTTTAAATCGAGTATGGTATTCAAATTAAATATAAATCAATTCTATTTTAGAAAAGAGTCAGAGTAGAAGAGTAAAACCAAGTTTTTTTTTTGAATAAATATCATAATTCATAAGTAAAAATGATACTGTTTCTTGAAATTGATTATGTAACGTATGTAGAAGTATTTATTTAGACTTCTTTAAAATTTCCGATACTTTTACAATATTACAGTAGAGTTTTCTTACGCCAAGTTTAGATAAAATTTATGATTCATAACAGTTTTATGCAAAATTTCTAATTAGATATCCACTAAACAATTATATTGCTATATCATTTGTAATGACAGATACAAATAATCATAAAGATCTCAAAGTTTCAGTTTCTCATATGTAATATCCAATATACATATGTGATTACTGTAAAGTTATAAACATTTGAGTAAACAAGACAAATACACAAAATATGTTGATAGCAAAAGTCTTTATTAAAAGTACATCAATATTATTTAACACATTAATTTACAAGTGCATTAATATTGGCATTGCTCATCCAGGGTAGTGCTCATTCTCTTGAAATAAATTTTATTTACATCAAAATTATTTTCCGTAGTGTTTTCTTCAGTCCTATATGTACCAATTGGCAATCATTCATTATTATTACATCCAAAATAGCGTCTTGTGTTGGATACAACTTACACTGGTATAAATTTGCTGAATGATTTGAATAATTTCGATGCCTCTGCCACTGCCTCATTGGCAATTGGAGCAAGTTTTTTGGAGGCATTGTCTACACTTTTTTGCAATTTGTTCATGTGTGCTGTGACATTGTTTGTTGATCTTTTGGATTTTCCAGAACTTACATGGTTCAAAACTGCACGTCCTAAGCTCAAGGTTTCTTCGCCAACTGGTTCCAAAGCTTTACGAGCTTGTTTGAAGAGGGCAATGGCTTTGTTCAGAGCTTTTTTTGCTGTAATATTTTGTTAAATATAATTTTTTGTAATATAATTACTAATAGTTCTATATATTTTATTATAATTAGCGTTTTAAAACTTCCCATCTCAATTGGTCATTGATATCATGTGGCGACAGAAAACTCTCATATTTCTCAAAAATATCTCACATTTTACCACCAAACCACCAACATTTATTTTAATTGGTAAGAAAAATGAATTAAAGCTATAGAATGCTAGGAAAAATTAAATGTTGTATTTTTTAACTGTTTTTTTTTTTCACATTTTTAATATCAGCAAATAATTTATGGGCCAAGTCTAAATGTGTTAGAAAGTTATTGTCCTAACTTGGAATAAATTCATATGAAGATGGTTCATTGAATTTTAATAGTTATTAGCAAATGCGGATATGAGTTAATAATAATATAAAGTTTAATTTGAATCACAACGTCATAGTAAAATATTTTAGATTTCAATCTGATGAATTTATGGAAGGCTCTATCAACCAGTTAAATGTGATCGACGAATATACTCGTATATGGAGAACTCGTCATGAATTTAGAAAATATAGTGTGGTTCTTAATGTGGACATTTTCGAATTTCCTTGCTCCCAGGGGCTCAAATGGTTCCAAATTGATAAAAAACGAGTCTCTGAAAGTTTTAGCTCTTAATATTGTCTTTTAGATAGAGCGAAATTCAATCAAAGATTTGTATGGAAATAGCATGAAAAATTTTCAAAAATTTGCAGAGCGTCGAATTTTCACTTTTAATTCATTTGTCGCCAAGTTAAAAATTTTTTTTTTTAATTTTAAAAATTTTTTTCATGCTATTTCCATACGAAGTTTGATTGAATTGCGCACTATCTAAAAGTTAATATTAAGAGCTAAAACTTTAAGAGAATTATTTTTTATCAATTTGGAACCATTTGAGCCCTTGGGAGCAAGAAAATTCGAAAATGTCCATATTAAGGACCACCCTATCTACTAATGAAGGGCCACCCTACCTACTATCTACTTGTAAAGCAATTGGACAAGTAAATAAATAAGAATATTAAATTCGAAATGTAAAATAAATGTGACAAAATTTGTAGTTAGGAACAAGTCAAACAAAATAATTATTTAGATGTACCTCGAGAATTGGGTAAGTACGTAGATATTCAATTATTGCTCAAAATACATCTTCATACATTTTTTAAACATGGGGTTTCAGTTTTTTATATTGCAACCCATACAGTTGACCAATTTGTATATTATATGAAAAATTTATTATTTCTGTAATATTGATGAATTATTGTTGCAGCAATGCCGAGTGAGGTCTATTTTCACGTTGTTAATCACGTTTTCAATTGAAATCGATGTCACTATTTTGATTCAACAACTAATTCTTGGAAAAATCATTTAATATTTTTTAAAACAAATATTTACCTGCTTCAATAGCATCATTCGTACTTTCTGCGTTGTAAGTACTATAATCATTATTTGTAGAATATCCGTCGACACCAGATTCATGATCTTCTACATCACCATCAATGACTACTTCATGATCGGGATCTTCTACAGGTTCAGCACCTCCTTCATGTTCTGGTTCACGATCTATATCATGAACAGCCTCATTTGCTGTTGCCTCTTCATTTCGATTGGCTCGTCGATTCCTGGACAAAAATTTGGCTGATGCACTATGATTATTTTGCTTCCTTGCAGCTCCTTTGTGACCAGCATTTTGAAGAGACCTCTGTCCATGTTTACGCTGATTTTGCTTTGCTTCACCAGCTAAAGCCAAGGCAACTACTGCCAAAACCAAAAATACAATCGCCAATTTCATCTTGATGTCTTTTGCTTCTACGTGTTTATTACAAGAAGTCAAGTACTAATGATAATGAAAATTTGTCCAAAAGCTTTTATATGCAACAAGGAAATAATATTTCTATTACCACCGACGTGTAACGAATACGTCAAATATTGATAACAGATAGATTTGCATGATAATTTATTCACTAAATTTTCTAATAATTATTTAGAATCATAATTTATTAATTTACATAATCGCGTTTACTTTTTTGATTGTTTACTCGTTAAACTATTTTTTTTTCAATGCATAATCTATTACGGACATTCCGTAAATAATAAGTTTAAAATTACTTGTAATCATGTTTTCATTGAAATAGTTCAAATAATAAATATATTATTCATACGAAAAATATTATTTGCAAAAAACCCAAAATAATTCTATTTAATTTATCGTAATTTGTTTTAATCAGGATTAGATAAGGCTGTTTTTAATTAGATAAGGCTGATGGTTTTAATTCACGTGCGTAATTTCGAAGCATTTAATATTAATAGATAAAAATAATTAATAATTTATTTGCTGAATATTTTATTACTAATATGAAAAATTTGAATGACGCAAAAGAGTAATATATTTCTTGTGTAATGTACATTAAAAATTATAAATTATTAATGGATATTAGGGCGGGTCAAATTGTATGACTCCGAAAAATGCACATGGATCTATGTGTCATTTCAAGACAATTTGCTGTAAGAAGCCTTAGCACGTAAGTAAATTTTTATTTAAAAAATTTAGTTAATTTTTTTTTGCGTATATTTGAAAGACTAGAGATTAAGGTTTATTCATCTACAAATTTGATAGAAGTTTGCAAGAGTTTACTCATTTAAACCGTATAAATTTTAGGCGTATGAGAAAAAATGTTATTGGCTCGGTCTAATTAACAGATACAATTAATATTTTTTTCAGTATATTTTAATATTTCAGTTTTTTTCTGAAAATAATCCTTATATAATATATTTGAAATGTCAAATCAATGCTTTTAGAAGTTGTTTCTGCACACAATCGACTCAGTCCTTTTTCATAAACTATTATATTTTCTGATTTAAATATTTCATATTTAATCAGAAATAAACTGTAACAAAACCTTCAAAACAATCACATCAGTTAATTTTTTTTTATTAAATAATATGTTCAATGTCAATATCTTTTAAATAAATTTCTTCAATCAGCAATAAACAATACTTATTTGTCAAAATTCCTAATTTAATTTTTTATTTTTTTATTATTTTTGTGTCCCAATATGACCCGCATGGACCAGTCTTATATTCAGCGATATTGATAGATAACAGATTGATAGATTTCCACTTGAAAAAAAATCTAAATGTATTGCCAATTGACTATATCCCTTCCCTGATATTGATTGATTGAAGCACTGAAGGAAAGAGTTCTAATAATTAAGAAAAATAGTAAATATAAAAAAAAGAGTGCGCGTACGGTTGACACGCGATTGAAGTAAGACTTATTTGCTTCTGTACAAGATGGCATTTAAGTAAAAATAAATACATAACAATTTTTAATAATGTTTATTAGTAATATGGTAACACTCGTGATGCACACATTTAAAGGTGTCAACCATTATACACATTTATATAATGATAAATTATAAATTATATATAATATTATAATAGCATTAGAAATATGTATAATATTTAAAAACAATAATGTAATTAAAGTCATACTTCAAATATGACATGATCGGTTTGTCATTATAATTAATAATGAATTTTTAATAGATAAATAAAGTAATTGCTGATTAATGAATTCTATAATATTCGTTCACACAGTTATGTTGAACAACGCTTAAACAAATATTGTTTTCGCAACTTCACTCATGTAATTGTGATTGAAGAACTTCATTTAACTAAAATTAACATACATTCATTGACTGCTTGCTTAACTGTAATATCTGCCGTAAAAAATATTTTCCATTTTAATAACTTCAAAAAATTATAGAAACTACGACTATTATAGAAATAATTTCTAATCAATAAACTTACATTTAGTACAGTTTAGTACAGGGCACAAATGTTTAATAGGTTTTATTATTTTCAAGGTACAGGGTAAAATATTTTTTTGATTCAGGAATTTTTTATTAACTCAAGATTTGTACTACAATTTAACTTTAAAATGTTTATCTATGCCGATTGTTGATATCGGTACGCATACAACGTTAATGCCGGTGCGCATATAAAAACAGATCTTTATTCACATACACGACGACTAATCACAATCGACCCGTATAGAAATGATCTCAACGAGAGCGAATGACGAACAGTTCAGACGTAACGGACTTCCGTTGCATTTGTACGGATTTACATCCTAGTCGCGCCTAAAAATGTTTTACTTCAAAAGTCATCTAGAAGGCGATAGTGTTAAGAAGTTTTATCACAACAAGTAATATCTTAATAACATGATTCGTAAAAAAATAATTTTCAAACACCGTATCTAAAGATGCATTTTGAAATCGTAGTTAGCTACCTAACGCTTTTTTAATATAGCCCAAAAATCTTCTAACCAATAACTTCTTCAAAAAATTCCTTTAATCGTTAATACCCCATATCTCATTTCTTATTTCGTATCCCATCTCTCCTCGTAATATCAATCTTTCGCTTAGGAATTGATGTCATAATAACTGTATTGATAGCAAAGTATGCACCTTGTATGGGATTATTGTAATATATCTATTCCAATAGGATTGTTCATAATTTATCATGTTCATGAATAATGAATAACCCGGTGAGTTGGATATACGATCGTACTTCGACTATGACTATGGTCGAGAGAGTCGGTCGTGCTTGTTGTTAATCTTATTGTTGGACGGCAACTGAAGGAGTTGCAAATGGAATTGATAACAACAACAAGAATACTTGCGAAATTGAAGCTGGTCGGAGATGGAAGGTAAAATTTATATTTATATACCTATCATCGATATGGTACTATTTGAATCATACTACTTCTTTTTTATTTTCACAACATTTTTCATAAAAAATAACAATCTATGAGTTATGTAGTTCAAATATAACCACTCACTCACACATTTATGATCAAATGTGTGACTTCAATGAGTGAGTCTCCAATTCGCTTTCTAACGGTTAAACGTTAGAAGTTTTGATACGGAACTCATAGAAATGTAAACAAACCTATTTTTAAAATTTTTATAAAATATCTGATAATTTGATTGATGTGCACACGCCTAAGGATCAGTTTTGACCGCCAAATGCCTTTTTTAACTTCCCCGAAGAAGAAGTTTACATTTTCATAAAAAAATCCTATTTGCAAGTTTTATATTTTCTGGTCGTTTCAAGTAGTTCTGAATCGAATGAGACTAAATTTGGAAAACAATGTGTGTGTGAACAGATTTTTATTTATTCGTTAACGTTTTCTCAAAAACAGGTGGGCTGATTTCAAAAATTTAAAAGCCATTCGATGTAGCTTGATATTCTTAATAACCACTTGCTTTAGTTAGATTTTTGATATGATTTCTTTGTAAATAGCAGAAAAGAAAAAAAAATCCATCGACGCCCAAAAATTCTGAATCGATTTTAAAAATTCAAAAACTATTCGAAAGATATTAGTTGGGAGTCGTGCTGATTAAATTTGGATAGAGATCGGCCATGCCGTTTTTTTTTTTTCGAAATTATACGTTGTAAAATTTATATCCATACATTTTTCATTTTGTTCGCTATTATGGACCTAAAGAACATACTAAAATCTTACGGCTCCACGGCAAGTAGTTTCAAGTTTCAAAAATATAGCTAGTCAAAATTTGTATCAAATAATCATATAATAAACTACAATTTTAGGACATGTAAGCACATGTCTGTGTAATATAATTGATATAGTTACAGAAAATTTAAATGGGTTTAAAAAAATTCAATTGGAAATCGCAATGTACAGATTTAATTAAAAGTGAAAACTTTATTTTCAAAATAAACATTTGAAAATTTTCTCTATATATTTAAATCTCAATTTAGGTTGATTAAGTCAATTATTACACATTTCGGTAAGGTGCGTTTACTAGCATTAAATCAATTACTGTTATTATATATTTTAATAAAAAATTAAATTTTGATTCGTTTTTATTGAAATCAAAAACTTTACTTTCTAAATAAAAGGTTGAAAATTTTGAAACTATTAGGAAAGATTTTGCCACGCACCTCAAGACAAAAGGCCATTTACCCCTAGTTTATTAACTTCTCGTAGGGTAGTTATAGTAATAGGCTGAAAATCGAACATGAAATTTTTTGCATTTCTCGACGTTTCGAAGGTTTCTGAACATTTTGTCATACAATTTTTCGGTCACGTTTTCGGGCGCACGAATCAACCGATTTGAATGGTTCAAGAAACATTCGTTTCCTATTCATAGGGAGATGTATTGATTAGTTTTTGGCAAAAACAGGTCCTGCCGTCACGGAGATACGGCGCAATGAGTGTAGAAAATACAAATAGAGTCTTTGAGAGAACGGAGAATCCGATTTGAATGATCTAAAAACATTCAATTTGATTGGGAGAAGAGGTGAATAGTTTTTCGCAAAGGCAGGTCCAGCCATTTTAAAGATACAGAGCTGAATGTGCAAAAAATTGCAGTTTTTGAGAGATCTAAGCGTTCGATTTGAATTGAATTTGAATTCAAAAAACTATCTGCTTGTTTCAACAAAATAATTGCTCTTGGATAATTTTTTTTTGTTTCAATTTTTTTACATTTTTTTTTTGTTTTTCGAAAATAATTCTGATTTAATTCTAATTTTGACTAAAGTTCTAAATATACTTTGAACAAGTAATTTCAACTTCAGTTTATGTAATTATTATAAATATTAGACAATGTTACAATATTTATAATAATCTATTTGAAAACACTTAATATTTCTCGAACATTTCGTTACGGTACGGAAAGTTCCAGCAATTTGCCTTAAGGCACGATGCCATACACAACTAGTTTATTATTATTTTTCATTAATTTTTAATGTTTTTTTATTTTTAAGCATCTCGATCATATTTAACACTGTTTGTG